GTGGCTCGCGAAAGAGAACAAAACGCCGCGTGGATGGTGTACGCGGATTAAAAATGAAGGATAAAGGGCGACGTTGGTGGAACTGGCGTGGCCTGCAGCAGTCCTGCCCGGGACAAAGGGACCCTGGGATTTTGCGGATCCTCTTGGGACGGCCAGAAAACTCACGGTGATGCACTTCTGGCCTACGCACGCCTTTTCCGCTTCCTCGCCACCCTTTTCCGCTCGCCTATGATAATGCGGACGGCATCATCCTTTCGTTTCAGTTGCGTAATTACTGCTTTTGCGTGAACGTCTTTTCTCGTACGAACAGGTCCGAATTCTTTCTAAAGTGTCAAATCTCGTAATCTCTTCTCACCACTCGTAGTGACCCAACCAACAGGTATGGAGGGATGTCTCTCCGAGACGGACCTTTGTGCGAATTGAAAAGCCACGCTCTTTCCTTTCTCTTTCGTTTTTCCGGCAGATTTAATTCCGTTGACACGAGCAGGTCAACTGGAACTCTCTTCAAAACGATTGCGGATTATCCCACAAGACGGGACCGTCGTGCTCGAGTGATCCGCGTGTGCGCGCGCGCGTCTTGAAAAGCGAGAGGAAAGCAGCGGCGTGGCAACGAGGCGACGAGGTATGCGAAGAAAAGAGCAGCGGGAACGAGGCGAGGAGTCGTGGCCGTGATCTCGCGAGGACCGGAATGAATGCAGAAAGGTCGTCGGTTGGGTCGCACGCCGCGCATCCACCGCGCCAAACTTAGAAACAGGACGCGAGCGCGATTTTGCTCCGCGCGAGCTCTCCTCTTACTCTCGCCCACCCAAAAAATCGTTAGGCCTAGTCTACAATATGCTCTTTGCGTCTAGAAACATTCTATTTTGTAACCATTAACCTTTAGAGGGCCGGAGTGGCCACTACAGTGGCCAGGAGCAAACTTGAAAACTTTGCGAAACATGTAGATTACATATATGCCTAAATTTTCTGTTTAAAAAATTACAAATTTCAATGGAAAAATGCCAGTCCTCTACAGGTTAAATATCGTGTAGGCGTTTGGAAATAGTTTGTTGCGTTACTCCTAACTGCTCTGCAAGCTCTTTTTGCGTTTGCGCTGAATTCTCAGCGAGCAGTTGCTCCAAATCGTCATTGCCGCATTTCCGAGGACCTCCAATGCGTTGTTTGTCACTCGGAGTAAAATCGCCGCTCTTAAACCGTCTAAACCAAAATGCGCACACATCGTACAATACAACACCTTTGCCGAGAAAGGAACAAATCGATTCGTATGCTCTTACAGCATATTTTCCTTGTTGGAATTCGTAATGAATGCAGTGTCGGATACGCACCTTATCCGTTGCCATTTTTGACTTTACTAAACTGAATAATTTTTATGATTATGTTGAGCCCTCCACCATACAAAATATAATTTTTAATAGCTATATGTCAACGCTACGTAACCTTACAAGAGCGGAAAAATTTGATTGTTTGAAACTTATTTTCTTAGTCGCTTAAAAAGTTTGGATTGTTCATTTGTACACCCAATACGTTTCAGAAATTCGTGCAAATTGATCAATGCTGCAGTATATAATACATTGTACAATCCTACATTGTCGACAAGTTTTTTAAGCGTTTTCATTTGCTTGCATAAAATAGAATCTTTCTAGATGCAAAGAGCACGTTGTAGATTAAGGCTTTTAATACTCGAGCCGCTCAAAAGTCGAGCTGCGATCGGCGCTCCGAAATAGAAAAAAAAACGGATAGAGCCCAAGAGAGATTATTAACCAATCGCACGTTTTAATATAAAAATTGAACAATTTGCCGAGCTCAATTTGGCTTTCGGCAAGCTTATTTGTCACTCGCGTTTGAGTCTGTACGTCACGCTAGGTTCGTCGCGCTGAAACGATCGACGTGAATCGCGGGATTAACGAGCAATTCGAGCGATGTGAAACGCGCATAATCGGATGGCACGACAGATCAACTTTATCAAAACGCGATCAATCCCGCGCAACGAGATACCGGACTCGTCGAGCGAATCGTTTGGCTCAACAGTCGATTGCGCTAATAATTGCGATTATTAAATCACCGAGATATCAGATTAACCGCGCGATTTATACAATCAACTTCACGTTTGCTCTCGGGCGGATTGATCGAAGCACCGGTTTCGTTCGTCCGAAGCAATGTTACCTTTTAGCGCCAATTTACCTCGCATTCCACAGTTTCTCTTAACGAAAAGTCGTTTCAGCGTTAAGGGCCGGACTGGCCACTACAGTGGCCAGAAGCAAACTTGAAAACTTTGCGGAACACGTAGATTACATATATGCGTAAATTTTCTGTTTAAAAAATCACAAATTTCAATAACAAAATGTCGGCCCTCTACAGGTTAAAGCCTGATCAGCAACGCGCTTTTTGTGACTAGAAACATTCTGTTTTTCTCGGACTCCGACTCCCGACTATGATTCAACCAATCACAGCAAAGCACTCGGGAATAGACGCCACTCTAATTGGTTGAATCAATAGTCGGGAGTCCGAGTCAGTAGTCGAGTCATACGGGCCTAAAGCCCGTATCAGACTACAGACTCCCGACTCTGAAGAAATAATAGTGAGCAACACACCATACAGTACATGTAGTAAGTATGTGTGTTGCTCACTAATATTTTTTATTAGACTTACAAACTTAGTTTCAGCGATGCCATATTGTTCTTTCATTTAGTCGGAATAGCAAGCCGTTTTCGATCTGTACGCGTAAGTCATTTAATTTCTATATTACGCAAGTGTTTCCGCGAACTGACAGTTTCTAGGTTAGAAAGGTGCAAAAGTGCAGATTCACTACAGCATCCCCTTAAGCTTCCAAGGTGCTTCGGCGCGCAACAATAATATCAATACATTGCTCCAGCGCAGAATAAGAATAAATAGGAGGATTCGTAATAACCCTTGCAACCTGCAACCTCCATGCACTCAATCATCCGAAGGGGGCTGCGAAGCGAGGGGCGACGCGGGACAATGATATCCGTTCTAACCTTGCGGCCGTTTTCCGACAGGTTACTCCATCGAGGGTGACAACATTTTCCCCATCTCGATTCATGATCGAAGGGACCCCGGGCGTGCACCCCGGGCGGGGGAGGGGTGAGAAGGGAGAGGGGGGGCAGAGAGGGTTGAACGGCGACGACGCGGGAGGGTTAATTCGCGCTGGCTTGAGGTAGGGCGCGCACGAGCGGTCGGCAGGTGTCGCCACGTCGCGACGCGAAG